TGCTGGAGCTGCTGGAGGTGCTTCTGGAGCTGCTGGAGGTGCTACTAGTGCTGGAGCTGCTAGAGGTGCTGCTGGAGGTATTGGTGCTGTTGGAGATCCTACTGGTGTTGGAGCTGCTGGAGGTGCTGGAGCAGCTGGTCCTGGAGGTGCTCGTACTGGAGGTACTAGAGCTGCCGGGGCTGGTGGTGCTGCAGGAGTTGGAGCTGTTGGAGGTGCTGGAGCTGGTGGTGCTAAGGGAGGTGGAGCTCGAGACCCTGGAGCTGAGGGTACAGGTGCTGTCTCTACATTTTCTGGAGGTGCTGCGCGGCTGCGGCCGTACTACGTTCCGCTCCTTCAGCAGGTTCTTGGTCTCCCACCTTCTTCTGGTCCTACTACTCCTTTACTGAGTCCACCGCCTGTCCAGTCACAGTCGCAGTTACAGCTGGCCTCTCCACTGCCTCGTCCTTCTTCTTACTCAGGAACGACTAGAGGTCTTACGGAGCGTCGTGAGCCTGAGTCGCGTCCTGTGTCGCCTGAGTCTCGTTCTGCGTCGCCTGTCCGCCCTGTCCGCGCTGGTCGTCGTGTTTCGCGTCCGCGTCCTCCTCCTGTCCCTGGCACTCACTCTATGACTCTACGTCCTTCCACTGCTCCACAGCGTGTCCCTCTGCCCTCTCCTCCTGCGTCCTCTCTTCCTGACGGTCCGGACCCAGAGTCTGACTCCCTTCGTGCTGCTAGTCCTGCTGTCACGCGCTTTCTGGCCACTGCTGTCACGGACCTTTTGTTTGAGTCCACTGCTGCGTCTGCTCTCGTTGCTGAGCTTGTTTACTTTGCTGCAGCCTGTCGCCTAGACTACGCCACTAGTCTTGTTGCTGAGTCTGCGTCTGCGTCTGTCTGTCCTCCGTCCGTCGGTGGTGAGTGTGCTCTTGGCACGAACGTTCTTGAGGACAGACAGGAGGAGTTTGAGTGCTTTGCCGCTGCTGTACCTCATCTCGTGTCCATGCTGCTTGCCCCTGAGGGAGACCCGGATGCACCAGACTTCCCGACCCCGCGCTCTTACGCAGAGGCGATAGAGGGTCCCTACTCCTCTCAATGGCAGGCAGCCATGGACGCCGAGATGGCTTCCTGGAAGTCCACAAGCACCTACGTCGACGAGGATCCCCCGTCTGGGGCGAACATCGTCAGTGGCATGTGGATCTTCAGGGTGAAGCGGCCGCCGGGTTCTTCGCCTGTCTTCAAGGCGCGTTACGTTGCACGTGGCTTCAGTCAGCGACAGGGAGTTGACTTCTTCCATACCTTCTCCCCGACCCCGAAGATGACCACTCTTCGGGTACTGCTGCACATCGCCGTTCAGCGTGACTACGAGCTCCACTCGCTTGACTTCAGCACAGCCTTCCTACAGGGCAGCCTGCATGAGGAGATCTGGCTGCGCCACCCACCTGGCTTCACTGGGTCGTTTCCTGCTGGTACCCAGTGGAGCCTCCGGCGGCCAGTCTACGGTCTCCACCAGGCGCCCCGTGAGTGGCACGACACACTGAGGACGACTCTTGCTGCTCTTGGTTTTGCTCCTTCCTATGCTGACCCGTCGCTGTTTTTACGCACTAACACCACTCTACCGCCGTTCTACGTTCTCGTCTATGTAGACGACCTCGTCTTTGCTAGTGCTGACACTGAGGCACTCGCCCACGTGAAGTCCGAGCTGCAAAAGAGACACACGTGCACAGACCTGGGTGAGCTGACAAGCTATCTTGGCTTGCGGATCACCCGGGACAGAGCACAGCGCACCATTACCTTGACTCAGTCACACATGGTGCAGCAGGTCCTTCAGCGCTTCGGCTTCACGTACTCCTCGCCACAGTCCACTCCTCTGCCTACCGGTCACTCGCTCTCAGCTCCACCTTCGGACGAGTCCGTAGAGCCGAGTGGCCCATATCTAGAGCTTGTGGGCTGCCTCATGTACCTGATGACTTGCACACGACCTGACCTCGCATACCCTCTCAGCCTTCTGGCTCACTACGTGGCTCCCGGTAGGCACCAAAAGGTGCACTGGGATGCTGCGAAGAGGGTGTTGCGCTACTTGTGCAGTACGTTGGGCATGGGGCTCGTGCTTGGAGGACGGGCTCGAGTTGTCCTCACTGGTCACGCAGACGCCTCCTGGGTTGACGACTTGGCTACGCAGCGGTCGTCACAGGGTTACACCTTCAGCCTTGGCTCTGGTTCTGTCTCTTGGCGGTCTACCCGCTCGTCTTCTGTTCTCAGCTCCATTTGTGAGGCTGAGATCTACGCTGGGGCCATGGCTGCACAGGAGCTACGTTGGCTCACCTACCTGCTGACCGACTTGGGAGAGGCGCCTCGTTCTCCTCCAGTTCTGTACGTCGACAACAAGGCCATGCTGGCCTTGTGTCAGGAGCACAGACTGGAGCACAGAACGAAGCACATTGCTCTGCGCTACTTCCTTGCTCGAGAGTTGCAGCAGCGTGGTCAGTTTCGTCTTGCTTACGTGGCCTCACAGGCCAAGACTGTTGATGTTTTCACCAAGGCACTTCAGCCTTGTGATCATCAGCGTTTCTGTACTGTTCTCGGCCTTGTACCTACTGTGCCTCACTTGCTTACCTCTTGACTCTGCTTGTACTGTACTCTCTATACATATTCCTGCATGCTTACACTTGCTAGGTTGTGTTCACTGTATTGTTTGTTCTCCTTTATATATAACTCTGCATGTGAACTGGCCTTGTGGCCATTTGCTTGTGCTCAGACTGCGTGGTGACTTTGTGATCCACCCTGAGCTTGCTTTGCCTTTCTTGACCGGTCTTGTGACCTCTTGTTCTTCCCCACTTTGCCTATGGGGGTGTGTCAAACTTATATGCTATTGTCTGTTTAGGCTGTAGTGGGGTAGTTCATATAGGGTACAACACTTTTAGTTTACCTACTTGTACCCACCTGCTTTCTAGTTCAGTCATTCATTCGTTCCATATTCTAACAGTGAGGAGTTATGGTGGGGCGATGAATCACCGCACTGGAAGGTACCTCTGGAGTGCTAACGTGTAAGAAACTAAGGGCAGTGCATGGAGGCGACGAGCGTCTCCTCCGCTTAGCATCATCATCCACATCATCGTTATCAACAGAAAGCATGGCTGTTGCGGGAGGGATATGCGATCCTTGAGCTCCTGTTACGAAGTCTAGCATGGCTGTGTTGGTGGCTTGAACATTTTTGAGAATTAGGGATGGAGAGAGAGTAGCCAGGGAAGAGAGGTAGCTGAGGAAAGCTGGGGGGGTGGACTAAACCCTCCAGCCAATCATGTGCGTACGCTAGACTGGATGCAACACAAAGCCAGAGTGGGCAGCATTCAGCAGTTGCATTGCCTGCATGTCAGAAGATTCTGGTACAAACAGTAGACAGGCGGTGGTCGTGCTGTTGACCAATTCGAGCAGTTCACGCCACCCCATTGATTACGGTGGCGTGATTTGGGGGAGGCCAAATTTATCAGGGTGGGAGGGGGGGTTTGATTCTGTAAGGGTCACCCTATTAACCTCTTTTTCTCATCAGCGTGACGCAGGCCCCCAGAAGTCAGAGAATTTTCTCTGATTTGCATGAAAAACTCTGATTTTCCAGACTTTTTTTATGGGCTACACCTGAAATAACCACTTTGTGATATAAGGGCCCTAACCTAGACCCAGCTTTATAATAAGGGTCATAACGGTATTACCTGCTAACCAGTGGCCGGTCACCCTGCTCTACAACCGCCTTCATCGTCGCTGGAAATTTCACTTGGGGCCAAGCCGGGCCCAGAACCTGTTCGGACTATTCCTAACCGGTTTCGGGAATCCAGAGTTGAATTCGAACGGCAGGCCCCTAATCAACATGGTCTGTATCAGGGCTGACGTTTCATTTTAAGCTTCCCTGATTCCGGGGAAAATTTTCCCCCTCTATTATGGGTGCACATTTTCCAGAAAAGCAGTACCCTGATTGCTCAGGGTTGTAAAGTAGTTAACACTGATTGTTCAGGGTCGAGAACTGAACATCAGAGTAGTAACGCGCGCTTTGTTACCAGGGAAAATATCCCCACTCTCCATACAGTCTCGAAGTTTCGATCAGAACGAAGTTTCGAAGAAACTTCGTCTCGATAAAGCGAGAAGGGGGGGGATTACGCACATGTGGGGGGATCACTGCGATCAATCCAAGGCGGGGTCATCGGAAGGAAACTTCCGAGAAACTTCCTCTCGATAAGTCAGGGTCCACACAGTCGATACTCTGTTAAGTCAGGGTCCACTAACAGCCTAGTCTGTTACACTGTACTCAAAATCAGGGATAGCTAAACTATTACTCTGATTGGATCAGGGCTGGAAATTCAATAACTCTGAAATTTCAGTCTCCACGAAGTGGAAAGCCTGAAATCACCCTGAAATCAGGGTAATTACCCTGATAAAATCAGCACTGGTCTGTATGAATACCCACCTTTCTCAAGGCAATCACGGCTCTATCAGTGTGGAACGAAATCTTGTCGGTTCAGTTCAGGCATTGTTGTAACACACAGAAAGTGAGATGGAATTCCGTTTCTGCATGAACAATGGGATGCCTTATTCAAGTCCACATTGAATAGCTTAGACCATGCATATTAATCATGCTATACACATCCTATCTGTATTGTTATGCCAATCTGCGTGACCGTGTCAGAGGTCCACTAGAGATTTCCGATTGATCCTAAGGAAGGGTTACAGGCACGTTGTCCTGGGGGGTTATGGGCGCACTGACCCGCTACTTAACAAGCCTTTTTATTCCAATGGTCTAGTGGTTGGGATTCTAACATGGTATCAGAGCGAAGGTCTCGGGTTCGAATCCCAGTGTGTGCACCTCGAGCATCTCAGTGCGGGGGGGTGTCAGAGGTCCACTGGAGATCCCCGATTGATCCTAGGGAAGGGTTACAGGCACGTTGTCCTGGGGGGTTATGGGCGCACTGACCCGCTACTTAACAAGCCCTTTTATCCCAATGGTCTAGTGGTTGGGATTCTGACAGACCGCTCACTCAGCTTCTGAACCAGTTAAAGCCACCGAGAGTGCCATGTGCAGCGGCACCGGGGAGTTTGATTCTGCCTGCCTGCTGACTCCTCTCAAGCATCATCGCCAGCTCCGGCACCAACGGCTGCAGCGAGGTGTCGACTACCATGTCCGCCCCATGCTCTGTGCCTGCTGTGGCAGCATAGCAGCATGGTAGCATGACGGAACAGCAGCATGACAGTGTGGCATAAAGGAGAGAGAGCAAGAATAAGTAAGAAAACGTAGAGGAGGTGCAATCAGAAAGAGTCCAAGAAGGGGGGAAGCGTGGGAGGGGATATGAGGGGATCCAAAATGCCATGTGAGCTGGAAGGTCCGTCTGTAAGGGCTACGAGGGCATGCAGCGGCACTTGAATCAGTGACGTACCTTCCACTGCTCCCCACCAATGTTCCCAACCAGACGTGCCACCCTCATCGCTTCCATCCTCAATCATGTGCTTTCCACCCAATCATAACAGCACCATCCCTTGCTTTCATTCACACCCAAGCTAGCCACTGCCCAACTCCTTCGCCCCCCTCTCCTCCACCTCCTGCTCTCCTTGCTTCTTTTCCACCCGCACATCCATGCTTCAACTATATCCTGCGCATGCACCCACACCACCCATCCCCTCTCACCTATGCCTGGCCTCTGCTGCAGCGCACTCGCGAATCGGTTCACCCGCATGGCGCCAGCTGGCAGCGCCATGGTGCTGCCACCTGTCATGAGCAGGTGACTCGGGTTGTGCCACAGCACCCGAGCCACCAGGTTCGGCCGAACCACAGGCACGACCCGAGCCTGAGGACTGAGGGACACGCCGTCGGAGTGGTTGGTGCGGCGCTCGTAGCGCTGGATGAGGAGAGCGGAGGCGTTCTGAGGGGTTGGGAGGGGTGGGGGGCGCGGATGGGGGAGGATTTGGGGAGGATGGGAGAGTGGGGGGGAGACGGCAGGGTGAGGGATGATGGAAGGGGGTTTTGGGGTAAAAGGGGTGTTGGGGGAGAGACTGCAGGGGTGGGGGGGATGGGGAAAGGTGCGAGAAATGGGAGGATTGGAAAGCCGATGTGGGAGAAGAGGGATGTGCATCTGGGCATGATGGAGTAGCGGGCCTGGAATGTTGCTAGAAACTCTTAAGCATGAAGAAGGAACGGGAGGCAGCACATGAGAGGAAAGGCTGGGAGGAGTTGGCAGAGAAGGAGAGGATGGCACGCCTTGTATGTACACAAGGTGGCGTGAGGAGGAGGGAGCGCTCACGGAATGCGGGTGGGACAAGGAGAGACATGCGTGAAGGAGAGCAGAGAACAGGAGCAGAGAGAGAGAGTTGGGGAGGCACCTGGAGAGGCACCTGGAGAGGCACCTGGGGAAGGACCTGGGGAAAGCATCTGGGGAGGCACCTGGGGGGGGTTGCCGAGGAAGAGGAAGGTTTGCAGCAGCAGCTGGGACGCGGAGGGGCGGCGGGCCTCGTAGGCACGCAGGAAGCGGTCGGCGAAGCCCGGCTTGATGTCGGGCGGCACAGTGAGGTAGTCCACCGGGGTGAGCGGCAGCAGCCAGACAGCGGCACTGCCGTGGTGTGTGAGGCAGTGGTGCAGCGCCTGGTGGGGATGGTGACGAAGGGATGAGGGGGGAGGGATGTAGAAGGCGGGTTCGCAAGCAAGTGGTGCAGCGGAGGCAGGCAGGTAGACGGGATTCGTGGCGTGCAGTGGTGCAGGGATGAATGGAGAGGAGGAGATGCCGAGAGGACAGGGAGGCGTGGTCTGATGCTGTGTGGTAATGAGGCACACTGCGCTGCTGTGCTCTAAAAGCGTGACTGATGTACCAGGTGTGAGTGGCGAGGAGGGACTACATTGGGCAGGAGGACGGGTGGGGAAGGGAGAGAGTGGAGAGGGAAGAGGGGTGGGGAGGGAAGCCAGGTGGGGCAGGGAGAGTGCGGAAAGAGAGCAAGGCGTGGGAGTGGTGGTTGTGGTCACACAGGGAGGCAGGCATGATACGGTGGAGCACAGGAAAACCCCCATAGTGAGGAGGATGAGCGACGCATGCCAGCAGTGCAGGGGTGGGGGAGACCTGGTCGCGGGGGCTGGCCTCGCGGTTGACGGGCAGGGAAGGTGCGAGCGAGGGGAAGTGGTGGTACGTGACGAAGCCGTCCCCCTCGTACCGCTCCAACGCCGCCTCCTGCCATGCCGGGTGAGTGGGGTGGGGGGCGTGGGGGGCAGGCGGGGTGGGGGAGAAGAGCGGTGGGGCAAAGGAGGGGTGGAGGAGGGTTGGTGGGGCACGGAAGGGTGGGGGGACAAAAGGTGTGCGGGGCCACGTGGAGTGTCCTGGTAAATGTGAGAGCATGATGACACAAGAGCACAAGGGACGTAAAACGGTGCGCTTGAAAAGCATGCAGGGGTGGGGTCTGGTTAGCGAGGACAGGGGCCGAAACAGGTGGCAATGGCCATTTTTCAACATGCCTACTCTTCATCCCCCCCACCACTCAAAGAGCCCTCCCCACCCTCTCCACCACTCAGACTGCTCCCACCACCACTTCCCACGCCATGTGCACATCTCACCATGCGGTCCCTGGGGTCTTCCGCCATGTCGTACCAAAACACGTGCGCCACGCCGCTGTAGCGCGCCAACTCCAACCACTGCCGGCGCCATGAGAGGGGGGGCAGGGGAGGGTGGGTAGGGGAGGGAAGGGGAGAAAACGGGATGAAAGGGAACGAAGAGGGGCCGGGTGCGCAATGGTGTTAACACAAAGTGCAACAGGTAGGAATTGGAACTGGGTGATGGCGGAACAATAGCTTTACTAACACTTGGATGCACCTGATTGGCAGAAGAGGGAACCTGAAAGGCGCGAGAACCCCAAAGGCACAAACGGGCACCAGAAGGGCAGGAGCGCACACCTGGGAGGCACGAGGGCGCACCTGGGAGGCACGAGGGCGCACCTGGGAGGCACGAGGGCGCACCTGGAAGGCACGAGGGCGCACCTGGGAGGCACGAGGGCGCACCTGGGAGGCACGAGGGCGCACCTGGGAGGCACGAGGGCGCACCTGGAAGGCGTGGGAGAGGGAGAAGTCGAGGCGAGGCCACGTCTGCATGGCGTGGGTGACGTGCACCGCCACGTACCACTGCGGTGCCGCCCCTGATGGGCCCTGCAATGATGACCCGCCACTCACCTCCCCACCGCCCGTGCTGGTGTGCAGGGAGGTTTGGGCGCGAGGGGAAGGTGGCAGGCACGAGGCGGAATCCGGAAGGTGGGAATGATGCATGAGAGGGGGCACAGCGGATGCGAGCTGGGTAGTGGGTTCATCTGAGCACATATGAGCACATATGAGCACAGCACATATGAGCACCCTTGCAGGAGCGGATGGCAGAGAGGGCAAGGAAAGAGCTGACACGGACTAGAGCAGCAGCTGGGGTAAAGGCAGAGCTGAAGAGCAAGGTCTGAGGCAAGGGAGGCACGAGTACAGCACTGTGACCCACAAACCCGTATATTCCAGGTAGTTTAGACTTCTGGGGCGGTGTGCACCCGCTGCTGCGTTAGTGTGACTCACAGACTGTCACTGTGCAGGTGCGGTGCTGACGTGGCCACATCCACCTCTAGCCCCAGCTGCTCGTCCCACTCGCCCATCCGCTCACTCTCACTGCTCGCTTCATACACGTCCGTGCCTCGCCGCCCCGCTGCACTCACTCCCCCAGCACCCCCCAGCGCCACTCGAGGCAAACCCTTACCCCAATCGCCCCTCCTTCCCCCTCTCCCCCACCTGTGCCTCCCTGCCAGCATCCCCAACCCCTGTTCCCTTCTCCCGTCCCCTCCCCACGTCCTCATCTCCCCCAGCCTCACTCCCCCCTCCCCCTCTCCCTGCTCCCCACCTCCCTCACCCCCCCCTCCCTGTGCCCACAAGGCAGCAAGGGGGGCAAGCGTCCCAGCGAGCAGCAGCAGCGCCAACGCTGCCAGGGCGCCCTGCAGCAGCAGGGAGCGCCGAGGCTGCAGCCGCCACAGCTGCCACTGCACGGCCCACCACCCTGCCTTGCCTGCTCGCCGCCTCCTCCCCTCGGCGCCTCCTAACTCCGGAGAGCACGCCCTGCTGCCCCTGCCCTTCCTCTCCGCTGCTCCGCTTCTCCCCTCTCCCTCGCCCCTGTCGCTCCCTGAATCCTTCTCGTTCCCCCCTCCGGCCTGTCTCCCCCGACGCAACCCCCTGCTGCCAGGAGCCCCTCCCCTGCCTCCCCCCGGCCCTCCTCTCAACGCATGCACGCCTCCCAGTAAATCCCCTCCTGCGCCTCCCCATCCCCACCCCCCTGCTCCTCCCCATCCCCCTCCCCATGCCCCAACCCCTGCCCCTCCCCATGCCCCTGCCGCCCCTGCTGCAGTGCCTTGAGGGGGCTGCAGGGCATGTGGGGGGCCACGCAGTCCAGGGCTACCTGTGAGGGGGCTGTGCGACGCAGAGGCAGGGGCAGCAGCAGCAGCAGCGGCAGGGAGGGGGTGGTGTGCGGCAGGGTAAGTCCCCTGGGCGGCATGTGAGTGTGCGCCGTGCTGCTGCCAGGGGTCGTGTGCGTGCGACCCGTGCGTTGCAGGCGAGGGGTGGCTGCCATGCGCCTGCCCCCCATGTGCCTGCCAGGGATCGTTGGGGCGTTGGTGCTCCCAGGGGTGCTGGAAGTGCAGGAAGGCCGGGTGGGGCCGTGCATAGTGGTGAGGCGCGGGAGAGGGGTACTGCCCCCACGAGGCTTCAGACCCCCACTCCTGCTGTGACTCCCCTGCCCTCTCGCCTTCCCTCGCCTCCCCCTCTGATGCACCATCGCTGCCCTCTCTGCTTCCCTCCTCCCCTTTGCTGCCCTCCTCATCCTCCACTTCTGCTGAACCAACACTCCCCTCCCCTCCTGATTCCCCACTCCCTTCGTTCCCATCCCCCCCGTCCTCCTCCCCTTCTTCACTCCCTGCTTCCCCCCCCTCCACACTCCCGTCCCCTCCCTTAACACTCGCTCTCTCCTCAACCCCCCACCCCGGCGCCCCACTGCGATTGCCTCCAGGGCTCCACGCCTCGTCCTCGTCGTACCCCGACGCCCTGCCATGCACCACAGGCCGCCCCCCCCGCCGCACCTTGAACCCGGCTGTAGTCAGCCCTGTGGTCATCACGCCCTCCACTGCCACACCTGCCCCTGCCACCCCTGCCACCCCTACCATCCCTACCGCCCTCGCCGTCTGTGTCTCCGCCCCTGCTCTCGCCGTCCCTGCCAGCGCCCCTCTGCTGCCCCCACTCCCCTCCCTCTCCTGGCCGGCCACTGCTGCGCCCCCATCTCCCTCTCCTGCATCCCCCGCGCTTGACCCTCTTGGCTGCTCCGCCCCCCCACCAGTACCAGCAGCAGCAGGGCCGTGAGGAGCACCCGGCTCTGCCAACCCATTGGCTCCCATTCCGTCCTCTCCCCTCACAACGATGCCATAACCCCCTGCCACATGCACCCCTGCCCCATATTCCCCTTCCCCATATCCACCTTCCCCATATCCCCATGCCCCATACCCCCCTGTCCCGTACATCTCACCACCCCCTCCCCCATGTGTGCCGTACCCACCCCCTCCATACATGCCATACCCCCCCCACTCCCCCTCCCCCCCTCTCATGCCCGAGGGATAGCCCCCATACCCCTCCACGCCCCATTGCTGCCGCGCTTCCCCCCCATCCCCCGCACCTTCCTCCCACCTTTCTTGTTCGCCTCGCCCCACATCCCCGCCTTTCTCCCCCGTTCCGGCCTTACTTCCCCCAAACAACCGCCACCAGCCTCCGCCCTTCTTCCCCTTCTCCTCCGCCTCCCCGCCTTCCCCTTGGGCCTGCCCCATCCCCCCATTCCCTCGACGGCGCAGAGGGTCCCCCATGCCTTCCCCACCGTGCCCCGCGATGCCCCCATGAGCTCCCCCTTCCGCCCTCGGCCCCCATCCACTTCCTTCCGCATATCCCCATTCCGCCCCCATTGCTCTGCCATGACCGCCCCCTGCCTCCATGCTTCCCCCGTATCCTCCCCCGTAGCTTCCGCCATCGTACCCTCTGCCGTACCCCCAGCCATCTTCCCCGTCCCCGTACCCGCCAGCTCCCCCTCCCCCGTATCCCCGTCCGTAAAGAGCCTCAGGCGGAAACCCGCCGCCTCCGCCATACCCCCCTCCGCCAGTTGCGCCGTAACCCTCGTCGCCGTACATAATTCCGCCATTCGCTGCGCCATAGTCCCCGCCGCTACCCTCCCGCCCTCCGCCGGGTTCCGCCTGCCTAAGTCGCGGAGCCTCCCCGCCATCCGCGGCAACTGCGTCATCTGCTTCCGCGCTCCCCGGACCCTGGCGCAGGGCAGCGGGGGAGGAATTCCCCTCAACCCGGGAACGAGGCGCTTGTCCCGCCGCCTTCCGCATGGCGGAACTCAACACCGCAGCGCTGCCAGCCGCGCCGATCGAAGCGTCGGTATCAGCGCAGCGTCGCTAGCAGCACAACGGAACGGTGGTAAAGTGCATGCGAGGTGACGACGCTGCATCTGCAAGTCACAAGAGCTGTTTGAAGGGAGGAGAATGGATGGGGGATGGGCGAGGGACGAGACATGCATGATACTAATGGATGATAATAACGCTTCACTTTGCAAACCCGCCCGTAACACTTCCTACCTACCTCAAACCTCAACCAAACCAACCAAGCGAGCCCGTAAACGTTTGCAAACGAGAGTTCAGAATGTGTAAAACTATATGGAATAGTAATGAGATATTTTGTACAGAAACAATTTTCGAGAAAAAAATGTTTGCGCACATAGTTTCGATTTGCTGCAGTGGTCGAAATTACGTGCCCTATTTGCAGTAGTAGCTGGGCCATGCGATGTTGGCCGTTTTTCTGTACGTGGAAAACTAACAGAATATGTTCAATTATCTCCGCATTAAATTTGGGCCGAAACAAACTACTATACTATCTGTCGGATGCCATAGGCTCCTTCCCTGCTTCCTGTCTTGTCCCTCTTGTTTGGACTGTCAGAATGTTATAATGCTTACATTTGTGTAGGCTATAGTGGGGTAGCCCATAATGGGTACAACCCAATTAGGGTTAGTACTTGTACCCAACTCTTTCATAGTTCATTCATTCTTGTTCGTTACTTTGACATAGTTTCAGAGCAGGTCCTTCGGTAGGACCGATTTCTTGGGCCCACCACAGCACTGCCCCACTAACCGCCCTACTGCCGCTAGCGACCCTCGTGTCGCTCCTGCTACCCCGCGCGCCGCCCTCGTGCGGCCCTGTCTGTCGACCCTAGGCCCTGGCGCCCCGTCGACCCTAGGCCCCGGCGCCTCTGTCGAACCTCGGCCCCGGCCCGCCCCGTCGACCCTAGGCCCGCGCGCCCCGTCGACCCTAGGCCCGCGCGCGCCCCGTCGACCTTAGGCCCCGGACCCGCCCCGTCGCCCCCAAGCCCGCGCCCGCCCCGTCGACCCTAGGCCCTATTGCCCCGTCGACCCTAGGCCCGCGCCCCCCCCCCTGTCGACCCTAGGCCCCGACGCCCCATCGACCCTAGGCCCGCGCGCGCCTCGTCGACCCTCGACCCCGGACACGCCCCGTCGACCCTAGGCCCGCGCCCGCCCCGTCGACCCTAGGCCCCGGTGCCCCGTCGACCCTCGGCCCCGGACCCGCCCAGTCGACCCTAGGCACCGGTGCCCCCCCCCGTCCACCCTAGCCCCCCGGCCCCCGTCGACCCTAGGCCAGCGCGCCCCGTCGACCCTCGGCCCCGGACCCGCCCCGTTGACCCCACGCCCCGCGCGCCACCCATTCCGGCTACAGTCCTCCATATTGACCTCTTCGAGCAGCACCTCCTTACAGCTGAGACTAGTGTAGTCGTTGTAGGTGCTGCTCGTGGCACTCCACGCACACCCTTCTTTGAAGGGTGCTCCCCCTCCCCCCTTGCCCCCTCCTACGCCTCTGCTGCTGCTGTCGACGTCCCTGGTGCTGAGGACGTCGGGGCTGCTTCTGCTAGTGCGAAGCGCCGCAGCAGCAAGGGCAAGGGTGGCAGGGGTGGTGGCAGTGGCAGCGGGGGTGGTGGTGGGGGCAGCGGTGGAGGTGGTGGAGGCAGTGGAGGTGGTGGCAGCGGTGGGAGTGGTGGCGGGGGTGGGGACTTTGGTGGCGGCGGTTGAGGCAGCGGTGGGGGTGGCCGTAGTGGCGGCTATGGGAGTGGTGGCGGTAGGGCTGGAGCTACTCAGCGTGGAGGTTCGGGAGGTGGCCAGCGGCAACAGCAGCAGCATCGGAGCGAGACCCTATCGCCTCAGAAGCTTCGTGAGTGGTTTTCTCTGCATGGGGCGTCTGGGGGTAGTGGTAGCTGCCTGTATGTCATTCGCACGGGTGACCGTGCTGGTCAGACATTCGGGAAGCCTCACCTTCAGCACCGCTGCTTCTCCCGCCTCGACGATGCCTGGCGTGCAAAGTTTGGTGACGAGGCCGAGCGCCCCCGCTGGGCAGAGCTGCTTAGGTCTCGAGTTGCTATCTTTGACCTAGACTATGATGTTATCCTTGCTGCTATGTATGCTTTGTCTGTTAGTGCTGAGGGTGACTGTTACCTGTGTGTGCCACCTGACCCAGGTGTAGAGGCTGCTGCTCTAGGTACTAGTGAGTCTGTTCTCTCTAGTACTGCGCCTATTGAGGCCTTGCACACCTTTACACTTGAGTCAGGTGCTTCACGCTGTTTCTTTCACGACAGCACCACCCTCACTCCTCTCTCTGCACCTGTACCGGTCAGACTGGCTGACCCCTCCGAGGGCCCTGTCCTTGCCCGTTCCTCCACTGTGCTCCCGTGTCCGGCGGTTCCGTCCGGCTCATTGTCAGGCCTTCACATCCCCTCGTTCTCTACGAACTTGGTGAGTACTGCTGCCCTCCAGGACGCGATGGTCACTACCACCACTCCCGGGGGTCAGCGTGTGTTGATCTTCACGTGTACACGGATGGGCCGTCACCTGGCCACGTTCACTCGTAGGCCAGGGTCGAGTCTGTACACACTAGCTACCGAGCCTCCTCAGGTAGCTGTGTCTGCCCAGGTGTCCGCGTCAAGTCAGGTAGCACCCCCTTGCTCGTGTCGCCTCCTGTCGCACCAGACTCTGCTGTGGCACCACCGCCTGGGTCACTCCTCCCTGCCACGCCTTCGTGGCATGCACTCCCGCCTCCTTGTCTCTGGTCTTCCCAGGTCTCTGCCTCCCCTCCCACCCTTGCCTGCTCCGCCCTGCCTTTCTTGCATCGAGGGGCGGCAGCGCGCCGCTCTTCACTCCTCCTCGTTTCCCCCGACGACTGTTCCCCTGCAGACTCTCCACATGGACGTGTGGGGCCCAGCCCGCATCAGTGGACAAGGCCGCGAGCGCTAATTTTTGCCGGTTGTTGATGACTACACGCGGTACACCTGGTCGTTGATGTCTTGATCCCCTGGATCCGCGCAGTCCGTCTCCAGCTCCGCGAGCGGTTCCGCCAAGACCTTCCTGTCCTACGTCTGCACTCTGACAGAGGTGGTGACTTCTCCTCTGACCTCTTGTGGGAATTTTGTCATGGGGAGGGCATTCTCCAGACGTTCACGCTTCCGGACTCCCCTCAGCAAAATGGGATTGCTGAGCGCCGCATTGGCTTAGTCATGGAGGTCGCTCGTACCTCCATGATCCATGCGGCTGCTCCCCATTTTCTGTGGCCGTTTGCGGTCCGGTACGCTGCGCATCAGGTCAACCTCTGGCCCCGTGTCTCCTTGCCGGAGACCTCGCCTAAACTGCGCGTTGGACGGGGAATGTTGGCGATGCGTCGGTGTTCCGGGTCTGGGGTTCTCATGCCTTTGTTCGCGATACGTCTGCGGACAAGCTCTCCGCCCGCGCTATTCCCTGCGCCTTCCTTGGCTTTTCCCCTGACGCGCCTGGCTGGAAGTTTTACCACCCCACCTTGCGCCGTGACTTCCCCTCCCAGGACGTCACATTTGACGAGTCGGTTCCCTTTTGCCGTCTCTTCCCCTACCGCTCTGCCCCTCCCCCACCCCCGCCGCTCTTCCTTGCTCCAGGTTCCCCTCCAGTAGACCCCCTCCCCCCCCAGGGTCCTGCTCCCTCAGGTGTGTCTCAGGTAGACCCTCTCCCTGGTACTGCGCCTGTTGAAGAAGCTGTCGGCTCAGGTGCTGCTCGAGGTGCTGCGTCTGGGGGTGCTGCGTCTTGGGGTGCGGAGCCTGGGGGTGCTAAGCCTGCGGGTGTGGAGCCTGAGGGTGCTGAGCCTGAGGGTGTGGAGCCTGGGGGTGCTGAGTCTGAGGGTGCGGAGTCTGGGGGTGCTGAGCCAAGGAGTACAGCTTCTTCTGGAGGTCCTGCGGGTGCTCCGCCACGACTGTCTCCCCAGCCCGGAGCCTCTCTCCCTGCAGCAGCTGCACGAGTGGTTTGCTAAGCGCACCCGCCTTCGGAGTGGAGCTGCCGGAGCTGGAGACTCTGCTGTTGGAGACACTGGAGCTGGAGGTGCTGGAGTTACTGCTGGAGCTAGTGGTATCAGAGGTGCTGCAGCTGCTGAACGTGGAGGTGCTCGTACCAGGGGTACTGGAGCTGCCGGGACTGGTGGTGTTGGGGGAGCTGGAGCTGGAGACCCTACGGAGCTTGGAGCTGCTGGGACTGGAGGAGCTGGAGCTTTTGGCGCTGGAGCTGGAGGCACTGGCGCGGGAGGCGCACGAGCTGGAGGAGCTGGAGCTGTTGACCCTAGAGCTGGAGGTGCTGGAGGCACTGTGCGGCCGCGACCGTGCTTCGTTCCATTGCTTCAGCAGGTTCTTTGTGTCCCGTCTTTTACTGGCCTTACTCCTCGCTTACTGTGTCCACCGCCTGACCAGTCACAGCCGCCGTTACAGCCAGCCTCCCCACTGCCTGCTCCTTCTCCTTACACTGAGAAGACCGGTGGTCTTACAGAGCGTCGTGAGCCTGCGTCTTGTCCTGCCTCCCCTGTTCGCACTGGTCGTCACGTTCCTCGTCCGCGTCCTCCTCCTGTCCCCGGCACACACGCTATGACACTTCGTCCTTCCTCTGTTCCACTGCGTGCTCCTCTACCGCCTCCTCCTGAGTCCTCTCTTCCTACCGTCCCTGACCCTGAGTCTGACCGCGCTCGTGTCACTGACCTTTCCTTTGAGTCCACTACTGCTTCTACCCTCGTTGCTGAGGTGGTTGAGTTTCCTGTTGCCTGTCGTCTACACTACGCCACTGCTCTTGTTGCTGAGTGTGCCAGTCCTCGGTCCGTTAGGGGTGAGTGTGCTCTTGGCACGGACGTCCTGGAGGACAGGCAGGAGGACTTTGAGTGTCTTGCAGCTGCTGTACCTCGTTTCGCTTCCATGCTGCTTGCCCCTGAGGGAGACCCAGATGCACCAGACATCCCGACCCCGCGCTCTTACGTAGAGGCGATTACGGGT